GTTGAATTCTTAGGTTGATAGGAGGCATAGACGTCAGATTATAATAAATAAAGATGGCAATACAACTCAGAACAATCAATACACTCATGAAGATGTAGAACGACAGCTTATCTTGATCGATACTACTGTGCGCGAGCAACACGATCAAGCGGATAATAGTATTCGCAGATACGTTCAAGAATCCAGCCATACCGTTACCGACCTGAACGGCTTGAGTGAAGGAACCGGTGGTGAATAATCCAGCAATACCGTAAATTGGCGATTCGGTAATGGTATTGAGAGCACCAACGCTTGCGAAGGCAACGATAAGTACGTTTTTATCCTTGACGGCCATGACGACGATTGCAACGATTATATAACCCACAAAGCCAGGAATAACGCGCTTCGTAAATCCCTGCTTATACACACCAAAATACAACTGTATGATGTGAAGACAGAACATGGATGATCCTGCTGCAACCGTACCCCAAAAGTCAAGCCGATCATTGGGAAAGAATTTGATGTAGTAATTCTGAGCAGAGATGAGTGATTGATATGCCCACAACACTACGAGATTGAGAAAGAGAAGACGCCAGTAGATACCGCTGTGATGTTTTGCAACATCGCTGTCTGGACTCTCGATGGTGTTGTACGGCTCCACAAAGTTCAGTTGCAAATTCGTTATCTGCTTGCTCTCGTACGAAGCCTAGAAAAAAAACGCAGTGTCTTCAATAACGAAAAATAGAAAAAAGCAGTTTCTTCAATAAAACGTTCATTTCTCCTAGATTAAGCAGTGCGTACAGTACATACACCCTTTTTCACCATGATTAAAAGATGAAATACTTCCACTGAACCTTGTTGTACGGTCAAAATATTAAAATGTATGTGTCCTTGGGTATGAATAAGGGAGAGCAATAGATGATGACGAACCTTTTTTTCTTCTATGCTCGCCATGTTGTCGTTGTTAACAAACAAAGGTAATAAACGTTTTCACACCTCATCTTATCATCGTCAAACAAAGACGCTGCAAATTTATAAATTTCGCTTCACGTTAAAGGATTTTTAAAAGACAACGTTCATGATGATTAGTCAATTCATCGCATTAAATGAAAACTAAAAATAATAAAGCGAAATATGCTTCCTTTTAGCTTTTCTTTTAATATAATTGATCACGGATTGCAAAGGAAAAACAAGAGCAGCTAGGTTATCCGTTTTTTTGCACATAAATTATGCCTTTGGTTTTCTACGTGTACCCATTTCTACGAGAATGGTCAATAGTAAATTAAAGATGTAACTTTTGAGTCAAACTTTAGTGTTTAAAAAGTGCAATTATTCTGCTGCAAATTGAAATATTAAATTAACTGTAAGTTTATAAACAAAGAGAGAAATGAATAAAGCACTGCTCTTGTCTTTCGTCTGAAATCCGTGATCAGTTACCGTATAGTGGAAGAGTTTTTGGAATAACGTAGAGCATTATTTCTCAGAGACGAGACGTAGAATCGGCTTTAAGTTTTTTCTTTGGAAGACCACAGTCTGGAGAACAAAGGACAAGGGTCGATAAGAGACAAAATAGGCTTTCGCTTAGAGTAAGCCTCAACTATCATATACTGTTCGATAGAGAATTGTACGGGTCACAGAATGCTATACAAAATATTTAGAAGAAAATGTAACTGGGTAGTCTAAAATCAAAAATACTCTTAAGTATCTGAACAAACCGGTAGGTCAATATCCTTCATGTTTCAAAATTTCGGTTTATTTTCGTTAACCACTTCGCTTCATATACCGTTCGATAGCGAATTTCAGGGACTATAGAATAAGCTAAAAGTCTGTCTTCGTAAATGTATTGGACAAATACTAGACAGATATCTCGATCTTTTTCCTATAGTGGCACATAAAAGTGATCATAGTTTCTTTTACAGACAGAGATTAAGCATAGTTTGTATATAAAAAGATGCAGAGTTGAAAGGGCTACAAAATGAGGTAAGACGTATTCTTTCAAATCCTAAATTTATTGGACTTATGGACAAAATACCTAACGGGGATGCAGTAATTTGGGCCTATTGTAGAATGGTGAATGAGATGCAGTGTTGTACACAAAATGGGATCCGAAATGCTTATGATATAGAAAAATGCAGAATTTATCAAGCTTCAAATTCAAACACATCAGTTAAAAAGTATGCCATCATTCGTTTATATACTGAATAGTATATGACTGTCGCGCGACTTTTGTTTACGGTGGCTCTCAAAATTGACCCAAGTTTATTTTCAGTTTTATTCTCCTCGAAGCTAATAGCTACAACAAATGTGAGAAAAGATTTGAATAGCTCAAGGAGTTTCCAATCTGGTTTGCGACAAATAAAGATCTCACTAAAATTCCTCTGGATGCCTCGAGAAACTTGGATTAGGAAATAAAGTCGACAAGGGTCATCCTAGTGAAACTTCTTGTGCCCAAGATTTGGGGTTAAGAAATGTCACAAGATCTTGGAAAAAACATCAAGTAGTCAACATCTTGGATTCTTGAATCTTTCACTCAATATCTTGAAACATCTTGGCTTACTTCACTCAAGATCTTGGGTTAAGAAATTTCAGGATCTTTTCCCTATTTGTGTGACCACTGGTAAGAAAAACAAAACAACTTCCTCTCTTTTTTTCAGCAATTTGCTGATATATTTGTACGTTAGTTTGTGTGGGATATTTTCACTTGTATACACCCTCAAGTTTTTGAATATGTACCTCGATAGTATGATCTATCCAAATAAATGAAATGAGTGAAGCCACTCAAGATGTTGCAAGAGCTTGAGTGACAAATTTTCTTTACGTTTTGTTTTTATTTGTGACAGTTGTAGCCATTGGCTATATGACCATTTAGAACCATAAGTTCTTCCTTAAACAACTATGGTCAAGGAGGAAAAAATTCGAAGTTATTCGAAGTGTGAAAATATTCGCACTTATATTTACACAAGAGTGTAAAACAAAACGATGATTCAAGAATTTCCAAGATCTTGGTACAAAAAGTCAAAAAATTACAAAACATTCAAGATCTTAATTTCTCGAAATTTCTTGAATTCTTATATTTTCTTACCAAGATCTTGAATCAAGATCTTACTGAAAAAATTCAAGAAGTCAAGATCTTGGTTACAAGAAGCTTCACTACGACAATTCCCTTTACATTTGCTAATCTCAACGAGCAAATCTTCATTTCTTCTGTGACCGGTATTTATACCGTGCAGTGCTCGATTTGATTACTATTATTATTTCCACTATTTTGCAACATCCGGCGTTTTGATTGCCTGTGTCATCGTCTATCACTTACTTACATCAGTTCTAGCGTTTATTTTCGCTTTGTCATAAAATATTCTTCAGAAAATATATGTTCTAAGCCACATGTTTGCTTACGTCGATACAAATGCTAACATATTCATACTTTTTCAAGCATGAGAAGCTTGAATCAAACAAAAAAGAACAAATTTCTCCAACAGGTCCAATCGAATCCATTGACAGCCATGAAGTCCAAAAATTAGGATAGCAGTCAAGGGTGAGTTTCGCTGCTCACGAATCTTTTCTGTACTGGATGAGCCTGTTACAAAAATCGTCTCACACGAATTCGAGAACTAAGTTTTCTAGAGGCATTGAGCATCGAGAGAGTTCATCGATGATGTACAAAGAGAAGCAGATAGAAAAGCAGTGAAGCGGGACGAGAAGTCATGAACTGTGCAAGAGGGAGAAATCCATTATTATGAGTTGAGGAAAGGTGAATGCGAGGTCAAAAGCTAGTGGAAGGAAAAAAGTACAGCAGATTTTTAAAAAATCATTGTTTTTCAAGTAACATCCTATCTTCTTTACTTCTTGAGTATTTTAAGCCCCTTCCGGTCAGAAATATAAATTTTTCTATAAAAGGTCCATATTGAGCTAAGCATATGATTGAAGAGCCCAAGACGCCTACTTTTAGAAACCATACGACTTTTGCCGATATCAAAGATTTCTGGAGGATTTTTCACAAATCTTCTAAACGCCCTAAAAACCTGATTTTACTAAAATTCTGGTATTTCAGTGAAATGTCGGAATCAAAAAGGATTCTAACAACTCCAGTTCGTAGGAGTAAACATTTATGGTTAAAATGAGATGTCTCCCAGCACCAAGCAATGCTTAGATCAAAAGTTATGACAGTTTTATTAAGAGGTCTAAAACGTATCTCGTACTATCCCTGAACATGTCCAACATTTTCCAAAATTTTCGCTCGGATCAGACTTGTAGTTACCGAGCTAGATTTCTGACCGAAGGAGGAGGCGCCCTTAATGCAAAACAAATAGGGTATTCGGAATCAATTTACCAACCTGCACAATGTAGTACTCAAACATCTTACGAGGGAACCTCTTGAGGTTATAAATCGCGTGAGGTTATAAATCAGACCTCAGTGAGTAGTGAAATACTCTAAGTTGGTTCATCCCCATGGTACTTTGTTGTTGAGATATTGAATCGTACTACTATGACCATGGGCTACCAGTGTGACAAGTTTCAAGTCAAAATTCGAAAGTCGGATTTTGCTCGAAATCCAAGCTCTATAGGTAAAACCTGACTAAAAATTATCTCAGCAACAAAGCACCATGGAGATGAACCAACTTAGGGTATTTCACTACTCACTGAGGTCTACAAGATACAAGTAGTCCGAGTTCAAAAGCGATTTATAACCTCAAGAGGTTCCCTCGTTAGATATCTGTGTTGGTCAAAAATTTCACATTTTATTATTCCTTGCTCTCATTGAACAAAGAATAATAACTTTTACACGATGAGAATGGAGCGAAATATCACTGGTCACTGCACATATTCTGCTGGTCTTCATTAACGTAACTTCATTATAGTGATTGACCCCATAATGATGATCTTCAGAAGTGGTCACCCATTTTCCGAAAGTGGAGAAAGACAAATTAGTAATAATTCTTTTGTGAAACCTACAACTGGTAAGAGGATGGGTGACCACTTCCCAAGATCGAACCATAACTTTGGTACTACCATTCCCAAACATGCCGTACGCGTACGTGGACGTATCTTCAGCGTACCGTCAGATATACCGCAGACGTATCGATACAGGTACGCTTCCCGATGCGTACCAAACACGTACTGAGCCGAGGTCGATCGAAATACCATCAGCGCAAGAGCCGCCAGCACGCGGAGTTTCCGCACCCAAACCGTGTCCGTTGCGCATCGAGACCGTTTTGATCAATCTGGAAGCTGGGAAAAGGACACCACTAGAGCAGAAACTTCAGCGTCAATTTTGGTGCTCGTCGGCAATAGCCTTCTTCAAGCCCAATCAACCAGATGGTGCTCATGATAATGCCTTTGTTTCCGATATTTTGTAAGCACATTTTACTAAAATGAAAGATATTTCTAGTGTAACACTAGACGAACAACCCCTTGTAGAAATTGCAAAATGCACCGAATTTCGCTTTTGTAACCAGTTTTTGCGTTACGTCACTAATATTTTTTCATTTTTTTTGCGTTATCCACTTGATTCAAGCAAAAAAATATTTGGTTTTGGCGACATGGGCAATCCTTCCGTATATGTAAGACGCCAAATAAAAATGACTTAACAGACGTTGTTATGCGCCCGCATCTGTTTCAAATAAGCCTGTTTACAGTATGCGCATTACCATACAGCCTTACTCCTAAGAATTCATTCAAGTACGCTGTTGTGAGCATACAACTAGCAAAAGTACTAGCTCCGTTCTCTCAGCAAACGACACCTGTTTCAAACGTCATTTGAAACACAGAACAGAAGAACACGTGCGCGATAAAATGAAGCTACATACACTTTATAGAAAGTGAGAAGAAAATTATGATGACAAACAAGAAATAAATACTACTCATTGACGACGATGACTACGAGAACAACTTCAGAAGTGAAGGTGAACCAGAAAATAAGTAAGACAAGCACATGAATTCCCAGCTCATTGTTGTTTGAAGCGTGCAGTAGTAAGACCTCGATGTTTTCGGTTATAGAATTTCAAGCGCTTGACAAGATATAATCCTTCATTTGCCACCTCCATTCTCATTCATGCCAACGAAGATTGAAGAAGTATAACCCCGTTTGCAAAAAACTTCTCTCCTGAATCCAGACAAGCACTTAGAAGAAGATGATGGCGACTGGCCAATGTGACTATCAGAATGTGACATTGACAAAATACATTCAAAAACAGACAGATAAGTCCTTCTTCTTATTCTGCGACAGCCATGAGGATTGTCGTATTATTGGTGATGCACTTCGAAACAATACCACTTGGACTGAGTTATATATAAGTGGGAACGAGATCAGTACCAAGGGAGCGGCCTTGTTGGGCGGGGCACTCGAGTCGAACGCAACATTGACAACGATGGATATTAGCGACAATCGACTCATAGATGAAGGCGTCGCTTCCCTCGCACGAGCTCTACAAAACAATCGGGCTCCGCTCTTTCGTCTGTACTTGGCCTTCAACAACGTGTCAGACAGTGGAGCCATCGAATTGACTAAGATGTTACACACGAACAAAAGGATAACACACATATTTCTCAACTACAACATCATAGGTGATAGCGGAATCATGGCACTAACCGAAGCTTTAGAAGAGCACCCCAGTCTTCAAACATTGTGGGTGAGCAGTAACAATATATCTGATAAAAGTGTTGACGCCATCGTTGCTCTTCTCAAACGAAACACAGTTCTTCTTGACATTGATCTACGTGCCAACAAGCTCACTGAGGAGAGCAGAGCACGAATTCGACAAGTGGCAGAAGAAACGGGAAAATGTTCACGTGTAAGCTTGTAATTGTGATACGCCTTTCCTTTTGAACGATCTTGGCAAAGATGATGCACTGCGTATGATTTCTTTATGTACTCTTGTCTTATTTCGAATGTCGAATGTCTTATTTTTCTATCTCTCCTCTAAGCTTGCAGACAATGGAGTAATTGCTGCGACATCCGAGTAGCGCGATACTGCATCAGCATTTTGATTTGCTGTTCCCGGTCGATGTTGAATATCGAGATCAAGTGCGCTGAGCTTCATTACCCAACGAGCTAG